AGAATTGTTTGCATAAAACTCGGAAAGAGAAAAACAATTCATAATGATTCCTGCACTAAGACAATCGATGAGGAAGGAAATTTGTTGAAACTCTTAAGGGATCCTAAGAAAGATTCAAAATAAACCATATCACACACACTTCCACACAGGTTTTTGATACCATTTTCATATATGTACTTCGTTCTTCATACCATGAATGGGACACCCAAGGCTTGTCAATCCATCCGTCTTTTCATAGAAACCTATATTTTGAAAAGTCGTTATATAAATAACTGCACTAACCAAAGTTGTGTAGGTTGTTTAAGCGTGGGCCGCGCGTCCCACTATAATATAATTTTTATGTTGTTTTATTCATATATGATACGAGTTATAAAGAAAATTTAAAAATTAATTGAAAATTTTTTGATGAAAATCTTTACTAACTTTGATGCCATCATTTAAGAAAGAGTTGAATATTAGCAGCGAATTATTTTATTATGAAAAAAGACGATTTTGCTGAATTTTGTGTGTGCACTTAAGTATCATTCTAAGGTGACTACGACTTTTTTCTTATTTTTTTGTTTTTTCTCCCTTCATCAAAACATAAATAACAATTACTTGATGTTATTTATATTGTCAGAGAAGAGCAATTAAATCATTAGAATAATTTGTGAACATTTTTATATATATTTTACGAAATTACGAATGTTGTATTCAACAATTTATGTTATGATAAAGCATAGAGATAGATTGATGTTTACAAACAAGAAGTAAATTTTTAATATTTTTAAATTTCATATTTTATTACATTATAGCATTTTGAAAACTGGTTCTTGGCTTAAAGCATTTTTGAAATCTTTATTTCATTTACAAGCCATAGCATGTCATCATCATCATCATCATCATCATCATCATCATCATTATGGTGGTCGTATCATCACTGCTAGCATCATCATCATCGTCTTCATCACTGTCATATTTTTTTTTTTTTGTTGAAAAATTATGCATATACGTGCATGCGTGTATGTATGATAATTATTCTGATATTTGTAGGTATTAATCTGAATATTTCATAAAATTATCATACACTCGACTGCATAAAACGGTTGAGGTGAACTTGAGATTTGTAATTATTACGTAAAAGATAAAAATTTTAATTTAAAAGAAATCGGTATGTATTTAAAATGTTTCTTAACGTGCCGATGTGTGTGCTTTATTTTTAATGCTTTTTAGAAAAAAAAAAAAAAAACATTAATTAAATAAGACGACGGACGATACGTAAATGTTGTAAGCAAGTTTTCTGTGCTTCTCTTCTGTGATTTATATAGAAAATATTACAACAGAGAAGACTTTTTTACATTGAAAAGCTAATTATCAAGATGATCGTAACTTTAAGCACTAATCCAAAGATCTAAGTAGTTTTCAAATCTAAATATATATAAAAGATTTAATGCGATTAGATGGTGCTTTAGAGATTATACAAGCCGTTATATTTTTGTTATTAGTATAAATTGAATTTAAAAAAAATAAATAAAAAAATAAAATAAAAATTTCTATCATCTGTTAATCGATGAGCGATAACATCATCCGTGTCATTGAATGATCTCAAATTACATATATATCCCACAAATCAGCCGTCCATGTCAGAAAAGTGACGAGACGAGTTGCGTCTAAAAAGTGCAGTCACTCCCTTTAAGTATACCCTTAAATATGGTTCTATAATAAAATTTCTACAGATTAAGAGTGATAAGAACTTCATATGTGATCAATACTTTAAAACTGATTGAAGTGCAACCAGTTATGTAATACAATGAAAAATTGATCTTATAGCACTTTCAAACTCTACCTTTACCTATACAATTATACAAGTGCATGTAATCTTTTATCAATTGATGATCTGTGATGATCTGTGAAGAGAAACACTTAAGGCAGAGTAAGTTGCACACTAGCGCCGCATTGTATGGCCATAAAACGAATTTGACAGATGGTCAACGAAGGAGCGATGATGAAAATAAGATTAAATATTAAAATTGTTCGCATTTACTTTTGAAACATATCTTGCATAAATATATTCTAAATTTCGCCTCAATAGCCTAGACTTGTCGCGCTTGATAAACAAGCAAGTGTGTAAAAAAGTTCAACCATTAATTTCTTTTATCAAAAATGTGACAAAATTAGTCATGCGAAAGAGCATGCGGTACTAATAGCTTGGTAATCGTAGCCTCTCCTTTAATTGTTTGAACAGCATGCATGGTCCGTAAGAATTTATGCCATCTCATCGCATTCGCCAGAAATCGTTAATCACGTTTGCCAGAACTTGAATGTAATGTTGCAAGAGTTCCACGAAGCATGCGCATATGGGATATGCCTGCTCAACCAGATAACCTTCTGGCTGATGCTAATAATATCGCCGCTAATTGCTATGCTAATTAATCCAACAGGTTGAGCAAGAAGAATGACATCCAGCTTAAATTCAATAATAGCATTGTGGAGATGCCATCTAAACTCACGTACTATCGTTGACATTATTGATGGTGAGCTACGGTCATGAGTATGTACATTAATCAATGTCTGACGCCACTGGGCCAAACCCCAAAACTTCCCATGTACGAAGTTAAAGAAAAACGAGAAAATTGCTGAATTCAAGACAACGATCTTCTTAAAGAGACTCAAATGAGCGTCAATTGTATGAGTGCCCAGAATACCGATGATTACTATAGCATTGCTAATGTAGGTGTAACGATTGCTAGTTTAACCACGTCCTCATAACGTCTATGCTATGAAGCTCTCAGCTTTTTCTGCAACCTCATTGTAGTGGATCCAATATATTATTTTGTACAATGGCTCGTGCACATTAGACTTAAGGCATCGTAGTATCCTTCAGGGAGCTTCACAAAAATTCAAATTGTTTGACTTACGTTTTATTGTTGTTAACCTATTCACCACACCTTCCTTCCATTTACCTCCAAATATAATACGTTTTCTTGTCTTGCTGTCTTCGTCGTCAGCTTATCGAACTTTGCGTCTATTGGTAACAACAACATTTTTCGCTATTACTTTAATCATAGTGGCTTTAGTCTTAAAAATGCTTCAATGACTTCGTGACGTTGGGAGTCGTCTTCATGGTAATGTGTAAGAGAAACTTGACTAAAGGAATATATTTCTAATCTTGTGGTCAAGTAAATTTTTCCTTATGCCGGCAGTTGACGATTATTATGATTGGTCGTAGAGCATCTTTTTTTTTGCTTTCTGTTCTGTAACTCTTTCATGACTAATACAATTACACACAGTGCCCTATGGGTTCATAGAAACCAATAAATTTCCTTAACAAAAAAAAAAAAAAAAAATGTCGCCTTAGTTTAGATAACAGTTAAATCAATTAATCAAGGCGCACGGTATTGCTAAAGTTTAAGACCTAAATCCCAAAAATCTTGCTTGATCAATAATTCTATCCTTCATCTTTTGTGCGTATGGGATAGAACAAAAACTAAACCTTCTTTCTGTCTTCTACTTCTATTTCTTTGCACAGTGAATATATGCGCGTTACGTTTTTCTTCTTATTAATAAAAACTTTTCATTTTTATATTTTAACTTTATTTATCGAAGCTTTCCATAAATTAAACATGCGCCATGACAAAGACTTTGGTATTAATATCGAAAGTTACGGTTAATAACCTCATCCAATATTATTAGTATATTACCTTTCCCTTCAATTCAAAAAAACATTTGTGAAAGTAAAGGTTTGAAAAATCTGTTGTTAAGTTTTCTGCAGATTACTTCAATATGGTGAGTATATTTTTGAGCATATGTTTATACCACATACCATTGGTGGTACGTGTCACTAACTATTCTATGATATTTGGTTCAAAGATAGATTAAAAATCTATCCACTATCCACTTAATGTATAAATCGTAAAATATATCATATAGTATATCGTTTTCGAGATGATTCAGCAAAAATTTTTAAGTACTTCACTTTTTATACCCTAACCCTTAGATGGGACGCGGGTGTATTAAGTTTGTGCAAATATATGCAACATCCACAAGGTCCCACCCGCCTTGTATTATACCAATCGATCAAAGTTTGCCTATTCGTCTGTCTGCTTTAGTTTTTATGCGTTCAATTGATAGGCCACAATTTTTTAGATATTTTGATGCAATTTACTGCACTGAGGTATTTTCGCGAACGTGAACGAACGCTGTTGAGAATGTTTCCAATCGGAGCATATCCCATGTCTATCTTCTTAGAATAGTCGCGGCGGCAGAAATTGACAACCCAACTGGCATATCCTTTATTGATAGTTACAGGCGACAATAGACTCGTCGACATGGAGCATTAAACTATAACTTAAGCTTGACAGGCGCATAATTATCTAAAGCTTAATAAAAAGATTCCGCAGTATAAGAAGAATTATTCATCAACTAACTAGCACGCCCACAATTAGCAAAGCACCAAAATGTTGGCATCGCATAATCGGATAAGAGAAGGAAATGTATGGCTAACCGGTAAAGGTCGTTGATAAATGAAAGATTTCGACAAGTGGAAACGTAACAGGAAAGGTAAATAAATGTGAATACAAGTTTTTATGCTGCCGTTGCGAAAACACAATCATCTTCAGCACCTAACTTAACTAGAAAAACATTGAACGAAAATTTACCCAATCAATAAGCATAAAATTGAATAACAGAAGAATTCATAACCTCAAAGTTTACGAACACTGATGAAAGAAGCTTAATAAAGTCAGAAAAGTTAACGCAAAGGATCAACAATGAAAAAAAATTTATCACAATTTAGGGACGACAACGGCCCTAATCCAACTTATCTAAACAAAGCAAAAAAAATGAATACATAACCTCAAAATAGGTAAACAAATCTGGAGAAACTTGCTTCACACCAAACATTTCAGTTATAACACAGTTTTTATAATTTGATTTTAACAACCGACAAATCGGGATTAGTTCTATAGTTTAGAATTTAACATAGTATGTAACAAGAGCTCAAATTGGAGATCATTTCTTACCATAGATAACGGACATGAAAAAAGTCGATGCGGCGTAATTGTGAAATTTCAGTCTTCCTTGTCGGAAGAATTTCTGAAAAAACTTCTGTCTGTCTATGTGTCCTCTTTTTAAGATCTCCTTAAATCAATGGGTGTATTTTCGCTTCTTCAATATATTTTCACAGATTTTAATCCAGACCGGAATATTACACTGCATCAGATAGATCAAGCTTTGAATTACAGAAAAATTCTTTCAAAAAAAAAATATCAAAATTCGGCCAACTTAAGCCTTTACGTCGCGTAATTGTAAAATGAGATAATGATGATGGCCTTATAAGATGATGACTAATGTCCGATCATTGTTTTTGCATACAAAATTTTCAAATGCAATAAAATAGAGACAAAAAAAAGATCACTTAAATTATTAAAAGTATATCATCACATCATAACGAAAATCCCTTGTGAATATTTTCCATCCATTGTATTGTTATTATTATTAATTATTATTATTATTATTATTGTTATTATTATTATCATTATCAATTTATTTGTTTTCTTCATTTTCTTCATTCTCACATCCCACTTAAGTAATGAATATCAGCCAGCATACTGAAGTTCTTTGCAATGCATATAACCGTAGATGACTGAAAAGTGCGCGCAAGTACATCTGATATATTCAGTATTTCTCGTTTGATAACTTAAAGCAGCGTGTATAAGCGTTGTATTCGTGTGCAATTTTTTTGTGACAGGAGTTTTGATTTTGAAAAAATCGCATTTTTTTTTCTCTGAATTATTTATTTATCTATTAACATAAGCGTTTGCCTATGTATTAAGGTAAATTAATTGCACTGGTATGCAATCATTGCACAGATCTACAGGTAAACATGTGACTCTTGTGCTATTGATAGTGATCGTGATGATGATGATGATGATGATGATGATGACGATGATGGCGGTGGTGGTGGTGGTGGTGACGATCGCGTTGGAAGATGCAGTTATTATTGGCTTTGAAATCTTCTGTTTCTTCTTGCTTTTGCTTATAATGCTAAATATACTGGAAACAATCTCCTCTTCAACTTATGCGCTCATTGTGCACTTAAGCTCTTAAGCTTCTAGTAGATATAAAAGCAAATGCTTTCAACGAAATCGCAAACAGTTTATCGAAACGCAATAAAGCAAAATGTTTAAAATTGTGAGTAATTAATTATTAATTTATTAGACAATGAATATGAATATTGTCGCGCCGCGAAATGCACTAAATAAATAAATATAGATTTAGAGAAAGAAGAAGAAAAAGATAATATTTTAAACATTGAAAAAGAAAAGAAATTTTAAACGAGAAATACACAAAAGTTTTAATTTAATTTACCGTTTTTCTTACGTATTGTGTTGTTGTTATTGTAAATGTGTCGTATAAAACATAGAATAGCATTTTAATACGGCAAAGGGGTATTAATTTCTTCCTACATTTCCTTACTTGCAGTTAATTCTCATAACAATACTAGTGGCCTCTGCCGTCTACGCCGATAATATCGATAAGGATGCGGAAATATTAAGTTATAAGAACGATGAGGCCGACGCTGATGGTAATTTTAATTATGCTTTCGAGACGAGCAACGGTATACAACAACAGGAGGCGGGCAATATTCAAGGAGCGGCCGGTTCTTATGCTTTCGTATCACCTGAAGGCGAGAAATTCTTTATTAGCTATACAGCCGATGAAAATGGTTTTCAGCCTAGCGGCGATCATTTACCAACACCGCCACCTATACCGGAAGCTATACTAAGATCCTTAGAATACATTGCGGCTCATCCTCCACAACAGATTATACAAAAGAAATAATTATAAAAAGAAAAAAAAAAAAAAAAAAAAAATCATGAATTAGACAAATAAGAGTGACACGGACACAAACAAAGAGATTACGGTAGAAACACATCAGACTCAACAAGCAAAAAACTAGTCACGTGAGGAGAGTATTCAATGAGCATGGCTTCCGAATGTTTTCAACGGTTTTTTCCTTTTCTTCATCCTTTGCACTTTAAAGAATTTAAAACATTTCATTACAATCTATGTTAACTTCACTACCCAAATACATATAACATTTTATTAGTTAAATGTAAAAATCAAAAAAAAAATTTTTTTTTTTTTTGTAATATTAACTATAAAAAATATAATTTTAGTTTAATTAGTATACGTTTGCGGTAAGAAATTAATAAAAAAAACAAATAAAAAAAAAAAAATTGTATTTGTTATAAATTCAAATACTTTGGGGTTTTACACATATAGCTTGTGTTAATTTTCCTTGTTTTTGTTCGTTCAAAATTACAAAAATAATATTAGTTACTTTATTTTATCAATTAATAGAGCACTGGTCACCACTATGCAAATAGCAGTTCGGATAAGTGGAAACTGGACCGACCTGTATTGTTGTCGTTGGCTGATTTTGGGCTGTTCTAGTGATAACTCTTCTCTTGTAATATAGTTTCTCTTGAGGCCTAAAATACGGCGAACTTTATCAAGCGCAAGTAACTATCAAGTAAGTAAGTAGGTAAACGGTTTCAATGACGTCTCCAAATTTTCAAATTTTTTTATGCAAATTCCTTAAATGTGGCAGACCTTATTAGTTATATAGATAGTTGAAATTCTCATTCGAAAATTCGAATAGCAAGACCTAGCCTTGTTCTCGCCTTGTTTTCCCACTAATGGCGGTGATGTTCCGAATCGCATCGTTTCTAAGTGCTATACATTTTAAGCAATTATTTGATCAGTTCGAGTTCCCCAGATATGTCGGCGGTACAAAGCAATGGTGTAAACAAAATTCGGTGAAAAGCTCTAGTTAGTGAGCTTAGTTTTCATAAATTTTCGCAATGAAAACAAGAATACATTTAGAATGAATGCACTTGCCGCACAACTTTGCATAGCAGAAATAGTTAATATTTTGTTCATTATTTTTGGTGCAAAATAACGCTTTCAATACCAAGGCGTAACTGCCTTTGCGACCATTCATTCGCTCTTAGATTATTGCGATCAGGTATTTATAAGACACTACAAATAATGAAACCATTGGTTTCTGGGAAGAGCTTACATTAATTTCATTTCATTAATTAATATAAAAACTCTTATAGAAAAGAAATGCAAAAGACTTCCGGAAGTACATTGATTAAGTGTAGCAAGCGTAGCAGGAAACTTTTGCACAGGATAAAGGAGGTTTTTAAAGAAAAAAAAAAAAAACAATCAAGAACAACAGTCCAATGTAGGCTACGTATGAAAGATTTTGTTTCATAAAACTGGGGATGATTCTTGAGAATACATTAATCAAGAATTTCGGCTAAGACGCGCGATTACCGACTCAATGTTCGCGGGTTCAAATCTCAATTGTGCTAGAGTTTTTTTTTGCTCGTAGCTATAGTGAGTGCTCAGTCGGTAAAGCCTTAACTCTCACAGATTGGTCACACACTCGCCAGACTGCGGCCCCTACTTTCTCATTTCTTTCTTTCTCTTCCCTCTCATCTTTCTGATAGTCATCGCGTTACACGAATGAGACACATCCCCTCAGTGATTGGTTACATTAAAGAAAAAGAAAAGAAATGGATCTCCATATAAGCCAATCAATATACATCTCATTTAGAAAGAAGGGAATATTTTTCGAAGTAAAAAGACTACAGTGAGTCGCGGACTACCATAAAATAATCTATGCTGTTACACAGTGGTGTGAAGTGAGTAGTAGTAGTGTTTCGGCATTCGAAATTGGTTCGAAAACTTTAGGCCAGCTGGTGTAATTTTTTGAAATTCCTCTCATATAACTGTTCCCAAGGAAACTGAAGCATTATATGGTACAAAGATCGAATTTTCAATATTTGATGATGAAAATTGGTTCGTAATAGTAAATTGTCAAGTAAATCGACCTTACCGAATTTGGATCACGTAGATCTATTTTTTGGATACCACCGCATATACGGATGCTCATGAAACGTGACCGCTTATCTGCCAAAAAAGCCTAATTGTCAATATTTTTGCAATGAAAATTTGTTCATGATAGTAATTAAATAAAATAATTAAGTGGACCTAATTTTAAACGCATGGGTCTATTTCTTGGCCCCACTCCACATAAGATATTTCATGAGCAGTAAGGTCTTCGGAAAAGGGTTTAATCGTTAATATTTTATAAAAGAAAATTACTTCATAGTACCGTTTGAAGCAAAAAATTATTTGTACGGAATTTGGAGCACATAGGTGTATTTTTTTGTGACCCCAACATATATAAGCGCTATCACAAGAGACAATCTAACCTTTCAAGATGCGGGCTTTCATGAACATGACGGCTTTTCATGAAAATATTGTGTATTTATTGATGTATTATTACCACAACGAGCGATTCACTGCACTCGGCGAAGTGGTGTACGGTATGTAAAAGTCGGCGCAGCCTGACTATAACGTTCTTACTAAATTTCATGTAGAAATAAAAAATCGGATCACTTTTATTGAAAAGGCCTCGTCCTAAGGAAAATCGCTTTGCGCTATAATGAATCAATATAGAAATGCCGATCAAGCATATCATAGTAATCTGCAGTACAGACGAAAGTTTATTATTAGAAATTTCTACGTTTTATTTATTTATTTTTGTGATAAAAGTGAACAAATATCAGCCACTGTAAAATTAATTAATAAAGTTTTTTCGTTCATAGTGATTTCGATTATTATTTAAAACTTTTAACAATAAAAAGAAAGTCAAGAATTAATTAATGTATAGCATTAATATCCATATCTTGTACTGTTAAATAGATGATCCAATACTTTTGGGAAACATGTTTAGTTATTCATATGTTTATATGAACTTGGATCAAACGCATACAAGTTTCTAGAACGTATTCATATTAGGTTTATATCACACCTTTTGATGCTCTTCTAGTTACTCTCAGTTTTTTTTTTTTTTTTTTTTATATTTTAATAGAAAGAATAAAAAGTGAATGATTGTAAAGAAGGAGCTCTAGAGAAAAAATTTTTCATTTATAATAGTTGTATACGAGCACTTAATTTATAAAAAATCTAAGCCGTTGATACAAGCAGCGGCAAAGAAAAATTTAAGAAAATATTTGCCGTAGTTACAATTCTAGAGAGGATACCTAGCACAGGAGCCTAGAATAATAAAAAAAAAAAAAATAATAATAAAATATTTTACTGAAAGTACTATACATTTCCAGTCGCCATATTTTTAACCTTTTAGGAGAGATATGAATTCCATGAGCAAAGGGAATCTTCGGAGGCAACTGACAAAAGAAAACAAATTTTTTAAGAATCATCATTAGAATGGAAACACTTCCATAATAGCAGCAATAATTTCTGGTCCATGTAATGAGGAGCGTAACATATTCTGACCGTTGCCATCCTGAGAAATTAACGCAAGCCTAGCGTTTCTTTAGAACAAATCATTATATCTTAACGATTGATACTCTATACTCTCCCCCACCATTAAACAAGAGGAAGTAGAGCGCTGTGATAGCCTAATGAAAAGGGGCTTTTCGATGGACGGCAAGACAGCACAACATTTATATTCAGTGAGATTATTAAGCGCATATTTCAATACAAAAAAGAAATTCATTATAAAAGATGACAATATCGGCGCTATTTTCGCGAGGCAATCGCTGGTTCAAATCTGAGTTTCAAAAAAAAAAAACACAAGTAAGAAAATTACATTTGGTCGTGATCGAATCTTTTATACCCATCGGCGTTATCCTAAGAAGACAGAAAAAAAGCAAACGAACCCAATTTTCATGCTCGATAATGTGGAGTGGACGAGGCTGATCTTTTTTTACTTATAAAAGAAAAAAAAAATTTTTTTGTTATATAGGCGTGTGGGCGTTGTAGGCGTGTCCTTTGAAAAGGTTAAGGCACTTACAAGTTCTTTTGCAAATTTGTAGGCGATATCTTCATTTTTGCGACTGGGGAAATGTTTACCACAGAACCATACAGTTGCGCAGACGGACATATTTAGGTGCATTCCAAATTTAAAATTGATCAAGAATTCATATACTTTATGGGATTTTTGTGCGTCTTATAAAATTATTGCAAAAAAATGCAAAATTTGATACACTATAATATTGGGTAGGCGTGGTCAATTTTTTTTGATATAAGTGTTACAATATCGCCCAAATATTATGCATTCAAATTTTTGTACATTTATCTGCTATAGTTTATGAGCAATGCAATCTATCAAAAAGTCCGCTTATTATACCTTTTGAAAAACGGAGGTGTTCTCAGCTTACGTGGCGCTGTCGGCAGAATTTGATGCCGATCAAGAATACATAAGCCTAATGGGATCTCCGATCCTTCCGTCTGTCCATTTCAAACGCATTGACAAAATAAATATACCTCTCATCCTTCGGTGATGCGTATAAAAATTAAAAATTTATTTGAATTATACTCCTTGTCGTGCCAAATGCCCGTTTACTGCCATGCAATTATATTCGAAAGATCATTTGAGGTAAATGAAAAAAATTACCCTTTCTCTGAGCGCGACCTGTTGAAAGCTTCCAACAACTATACACTTTAGTGGGGTAACTGGGGTAATGTTGTTGCGTAAAACTTGGAAGGAAAAGCGGCAAGTACTCCTATCATAATTTTAACGATCAAACAAACTTAACAATATATGCGTATGCCATACGTGTGTACCGACTAAATGTAAATCTTTATTGGTTCGAATCATTGCATAGTAAAAAAGAGTTTTTCAATGCTAAGTATTGTTGAATTGTAAACTTGCCGATGATTTGTTAGAAATCCCTAAAGACATTTTCATAGATTTGAATTTCCATCTTACTTGCTCTCTTAACACACTATTATTTCCCTTCATACGTTCATGTGCGTTATGTAATATGCTT